TACATCCCACAGAAGAATGTGCAAGAAACTGCATCCCCCAATGAATTTTCTGTTTGGATACTCCTTTTTTTTTTTTCTGAGACTTTCGGTAATTTGGGAGTCATTTTAAATTCTCCGACTAATTCAAACACAGAGTGTGTGATTTAAAATACTTCCTTGGAGGATTTACCAAAATTAGTTCTTTTTATTCAGCTATTAATTTAAAATGAAGGTTAAGAATATCTTGGTTGCCTTTCTCAACAAATTAGTTTTGAACTCCCAAGTGAATATCAAGACTAGAAAAATCAATAAAGCAATGCCTAAAGTAACCTCTTATCTTCCTAAGAGCAGTTAACAAACAAGCAAGCCAACAACAAAAAGAATCCTGAGGAACAGAATTGCTCTCAGAGCAAAGTCCATATTGAAAATTCTGACTTTGATATCTATCACAAGGAGTAATTATATGGAAAAAGTCCAGAAAAGAAATCACCTATGTGCTTTAAATAGATAGTCATGACATAAATGTTCAATTACCATACAAAGACACACACATGCAGTCATCTATTGCACTCACCAAGTGCGAAGTGGACTTATGAAGTCCAATTATAAACAAACAATGCCAGTCTAACTTGTGATGAACAGAATTAGCCAAAGTACTAAATAATACCTGGTAACTCAGCCAATAGAACCATGAGCCAAAGAGTTAATAACAGAAGCAGAAACACACTTTAAAACTGGTCTGCGATGTGCTTAGCAGGAGCAGCTATTGTCTCTATAAAACAGAGTTGGGCTACAGTAAAAAGAAGTAGAAATCTTCAGAATTAAAAAATAAGATAGGGTCAATTGTCTATACTGATTCTCTCACAATTTTATCCGAACATCTTTGTGGCATACTCTATTACACACACAAAAATGGGAAGCTATATTTCTTCATTATGTGGAGGTTCAAAACAGTTTCTTCAAAGGGGGCAGAGCATGTGAGATTTGGAAGGGAAATGTAAGCATGTTGAGTGGAAGTCACACCAACCACCATTGGGTCTCATAGCTGGTGCAGTCAAGAGGCATTTGGCTTTCCTGTGTCTGCTGGAGCTGATGGAATGCCTATCTTCTGGCCTCCTAGGCATAGAGAATAGCCTGTGGGTCAGCTTGCTGGTGCACTGTGTCTGCTGGAGCTGATGGAATGCCTATCTTCTGGCCTCCTAGGCATTTACAAGCCTGTGGGTCAGCTTGCTGGTGCGTGTCAAGGATAAATCTGCGTGATCTGGTAGCTGACAAAGAACTCACTGACACCTTATTCTAAAATTGTGGCAGAAGCATTGTGCCCTGTAGCAAGCATCTCTCTTCATAGTAGCAGAAGCAGCTCCCATGCTAGGCCAGTTTATGGTGGTGTTCTTACATCCAGTGTCTGGTCCATCAGGGGAAAAGGAAAAAAAGGCCCAAACCCTTTGCCTCAACTGGGACATGTGTAGAAGCTGTCTCGGCTCCAGGTCTCTCAGAGGATTCCCCGAGATACCATCTATTGCACCAGCATCATAGTGCAGCTTTCACAGCCCATTTCCCTTTCCTTCCCACAGGAACTGATCCCTAGAGAGTTTCCAAAGTCTCCTCCACGCAATTATTTATCCTGAGTGTACTTACTGGGCAGTCAGACCTAAAACAATTCATCGTTCAAATCCATGCTATATTCAACAGTTTATAATTTTATAAATATTCTTCCCATTTGAAAGTAATATTTTACTAAGGTAGTAAATGTTTATAATAAAACATGGGAATGGTAGATAATCAAATAGGTACTTTGAAAAATGAATACATGTGTAAACATTTTTCATATATAATTATTTGTTTGTAAAGCTGGAATCATGTAACAGAAATGCTTAGATTCTATATTTTGCCTCTGTGAATGACATGACATAGTCTTTGGAACTGTGCTGAAATGTTTCAATGAAACAAGGCATTATGCAGTTTCCGGTTTGGACTTCCTTTCTCAGAAGACTCTGTTATTAAAATGATTCTGTAGCAGATACCCCAACCATTTCAAGCTAGTGTAGATTCATGAGCATTTTCTTAGGACATATTTCTTGTTATCAAATTCCTAGAGCAATGCACTTGCTGAAGTGTAAGGTTCTTCTCCTACTCTGTCAAGGCAGACTGTACTAATTAGTCAGACATTTTGTGAGTTTTCTTCAGTGATATATCTTATTATATTGTCTTAAAACATGAAAATGTGTCTAGTCTTGACACATTTTTTATAAGTAAAACAATACTTTTCGTGTTTATTGAGTATTGATGAATTTTCTTTGATGAACTACATATTCATTCTGGGCCATTTGGTCTTCTGGGTTTATTATTTTTCTAAAATGAAAAGTTATATTTGAGAAAATAGTATATGAATCTACAAATTAATAAACAAAATATATTTTTTCATGAAGCTTCATATTCTATATCCATGAATATTTGTAATAAACTAAATTGATTTTACACTATTAATGTGAATACATTAAATTATGTTGTGAATGTGATCACCTAATTGTGATTAGATCCTAAAATAAAAAATTGAATTGCTTTGGCATTATGCTTTATGTTATTCCATTAGACTAGAAGCCTCATGAAGACAGGGATCATCACTCATTTTCCTCTAGAACAAGCTAGCACATGTACATGAATGTAGTTTTCCTTTCTAATGCATCAGTGCCTTGCTTGGTATGTTCACCAATTTCCAAGTTCTAAGGTCACTACAGTTTGGGGTTGAACATAAGACATCACCCCAAATACTCTGGATACCAGAATTTCCAGAAGCCTTCTGTAAAATGGCACAGATATGTATATTTTCTAGGATGATTTAAATCATCTATAAGAGTTAATATAATGTAAATGCTTTGTAGGTTGGTCATCAGCAGAGGTTAGGGAACAGTGCCAGAAGAAAAGTCCATATATGTTTAATTAATTCTTTTTCTCTGTGTGTGTTTATATGAACAAGTCCATATGACATGTGTGTATGTGAGTATAGAGGTCACAGGACAAGCTCAAACTATGCCACTTAAGTTGATATTTTCTTACCCAATACTCACAACACTCCTAAGTCGAAGTCCTCAATTGCTTGTGGTAACTTGATCTGGCTGGGCCTTTGGTGAGCTGTATTATACTGAGACTTCCCTAAACCACCTCTCTCTCTCTCTCTCTCTCTCTCTCTCTCTCCCTCCTGTGTGTGTGTGTGTGTGTGTGTGTGTGTGTGTGTGTGTGTACGAGTGTATGCACTTTACATTCACTGACATGATTGAATTATTTGCTACTCCCCTGTTTAATTTTCTTCTGGCTGAGAAATGAGTCTTCAAATGTTACCATGCTCAGGCTTCTCTTCTCATTTGCATCAGTTTTCTCCTGTTCCCTTTACATTGGGTGTGTCCATCAGCCCTTCTAAGTAGCCATCCAGTTCTCTAAGTTATGTGTGTGCACTTTTCAACACAACTTACACCCCTGTAAAGTCAGAGTTTCTTTTCCTCACGGAATAATCACTGCTAGTGAAAGATTCTTAGCTTGCTCCATCTCAGTGGACTCCAGTAATTTAAGCACATCCGTATCAATCCATGCCCAAGGATAGTGTTTCAAATAGTCTGAAGTACTTCTGAAGTAAATCATATGTTTCCATGGCCCTAGGTGACATTTTAATGTCACTGCTTTTAGTGCCTTATGTCTAGCTGTTGTTAAGGTGACCACAGCCTGTTTTGACAGCCCTTGTTCCACCTGCTTTTCGAATTTTAGAAACTATTATATATCTTCATTCCCATTTTCAATAGTTGAGGGGGATTCAATAAAACCAACAACCAGGTTTTATACATTCATCCTTTCACCAAATACGCCCTAAATTTCTACTGTATGAATAATGTTCCAGCTGCAAGGAACACAGAGGGAAAAATAAACCAACAGAGAAACTCTGTCTCTAAGAAACATGAGGAAGTGTAAGCTTTAGGTTACTGAAAACAGGCTCAGGTCAGAAGAGGAAGCAAAGGCCAGATGGACTAACCAAATGGCATTCAACTACCACGAAGTACAGGGGGCTATAGGCAATTGCTCATTGTGTTAGAGGAATAGAAGGGTGGTATTGCTGGAGTTGGGGAAGGGCAATGGGGGGGGTAGAGAAGGAGGGAGGCGACTATGTGTTGCATAAGGCCCCAAAGGGGATTATAATCATTCTTGTCACCAAGAAATGGTTGACTTCTATTCTGAAAGCACCCTCTTTACTACTGCTTGGTGTGGTCGGGAGGACAGGAGGCAGCACAAGCATTGCTTTTCTCACCACCAGGACAGACTATGTGACAAGGCAAGGAGGCCACATTCTGCCATGGTGGAGGCATACAGCCCAGTTCCCCAGGGAAGCTGTGAGCAGGGGCAGTTTCCTGCTGTGACACAAGGAGCTTGAGGCAGCTGTTGACATCCAGTCAGCAGGGTCAGCAGTCAGGAAGCAGAAAGTAAGGGCACATGTGAGCCGAAAGGGGACAAGACTGTAGCCCTTGTGGGCAGCTGTTGACATCCAGTCAGCAGGGTCAGCAGTCAGGAAGCAGAAAGCAAGGGCATATGTGAGCAGAAAGGGGACAAGGCTGTAGCCCTTGTCCTGCCCCCCAAGTGGCCTTCTTCTCCCAGGTGTGCCCTACTTTCTAAAGGTTTCACAGGGTCCCCAAGCAGTGCCCCCTGCTGGGGAACATTCTCAGGTGTGGGAATCTGTGGGGCACTTCACACTCCAACGACAGCAGGTAGTTGGTTCTCCCCATTCTTTGGCCGTGTCTAGCCAATTGTCCACATGCTTGAATGAAGATGTTCTATGATGAATCAAGATGTTTTATGTTATGAGGGTTTTTATTTTGTTTTACAAATATTTAAATCATTTATTGCCATTAAGTTACAGATCTGAATTTACACACTATGGAAAACACTTATTACCACTGGAAAGTATGTGTAGACATGTGGCCAATGGAGGGATATACTACAGACATTAAAGAAAAAGTCAAGAATTTGAGTAAGTGCTCATAGTTATAAATTTTTGTTCCTTAGATTTTTGTTACACAAATCCCAATAGATAATATACACATTACTACAGATTATTACAGATAAAACCATCATTCAAAATTATTAAATTAGTTGCATATTTTGAACTACTCTTGATGAAGACAAATAAATTTTAGCATTGATAAGGCAGCAGAAAGTTGATTTAGAGACTCTCAGCTTTTCTATAATGTTGGCATGGTAATTAAGGATAGCATTCTGTGTTTTCCCTTCGGCTGATGCGATCTCTGTCTTGGCGACAGTGGCTGAGGCACTGTCCCTTTCAAGAGCTGGTCCTCGAACTGCTAGGCAGATGCCTTCTTACTCATCTCATAGTTGATAAGCCACCCTCCCTGAATGAGCTGGACTACTTCGTTTGTTCCATGGCATGCAAACAGAAGCCAGTTTTGAGGCTGTACCTTGTAGGCAAATCTCATGAATGTCAAGGAATAGCAACAGAGGGCAAAGGTCATCCGCCCACTGATAATCTCTGGAGATTTCTTCTTGTCATTGATGGCAGCAATGGGGAGACCCCAGTTGGCAACTGGGCCCCAGAAGTGCGTGCTCATGAGATAGTCCTGGAAGTCCTTGCTGAGGACATAGTCCATCACTTTGCGCACAAGCACCCCAGCCATGGCAGTGCGTGTGGTTGGCAGTGCAGCCGCTCTGCTTTATGTTATGAGTTTTAAGAACTTAGTAAAAGTCAATTACTCAAATAGTGTAGGCTACCATTTTGGATAATATAGATTCCTATACAGACTTACTTTGTGCATATAGAGCTAGTTAATAGATCTTCAGACTAATAACTCTAGCATGTTACATGTCAAATATGCCAAATATTAATATTAACCAGATCCCTGTAAATGTAGTGAACAGAGTTCAAAATAATATTGGCCATCCAGGGACATGGCAAAACTGGTCACAGAGCGGATGGATCTTGAAATAATTGTGGTAACGTCTGTCAAGTAACAATTTCTTCAAAAGAAATTACTTTTGAACATTGTCAATGAAGATATGAAACTCAGTAAACACTTGACTGTGAGCAAGACCGTCTTTGCCACATATTAGGATGTGCTGTCAGGAAATTCCTCTTAGAACAGACTTGATAAGACAGCCCTATTCTTACTCTTGAATGCCTGAGAAGGAAGCAAATTCAACTTTTAAAAGGTGTTTATTTCCTTTGGTGCAACTAGGAGTATAAAGTCGAAAACCAAATAGTTCCGATTTGTGTCAAAGCTCCCTACATCCTTCCACAATAACACCCCATGGTTCTCATTTTTGGAAAACACATTAGACAAACAAGCTTCTGAAGCAGAGAAATGCCTCGGAAGCGAGAAGAGGCTGTGTTCTTCTGGTAGCAGGGAAAAGGCAAAAACAGCACACCTGCTTGCAGCTGGGCTCCCCTAACAAATCTCACAGGGCCCTGACATGTGAAGTCTCGGCCAAGTCAAACAAGGAGTAATTTTAAAGTAGCACCCAAAGAGGGGCTCAGGCAGAGTTTGCCAGCAAAACCCCAGACCCCTGAAGTCCCTGCGGGACAGGCTTGATTTTCATTTCCTTGACCCATTTGCAGGGAGTTGTTACTGGTGGCCAACTCTGCCTCCTTGTACACAGCACACGAATAATAAACAGAGGCCAGCTGACACCCTGAGACACCTGCAGAACACTCACAGTGCAGGATTGTTCACCCAGGGGGAACATTTTTGCTAGGAGCAGATGGGTGAACATCCATTGGCTCATTACATACACAAGCAAGCTCACAGGGGGCACATGCTTGCACATACACACCTAAAAAAAAAAAAAAAAAGGTTACCAAGGGCCTTTCTGAGGCCCACTGGACTGCCAAGACAACCAATAGAAAAGAACCGCTGGTTGTGGGAACAGGGTGTGAAAAGGACTCTGTATGCAGTTATCCCGAGTGTGTGTGTGTGTGTGTGTGTGTGTGTGTGTGTGTGTCTGTCTGTCTGTCTGTCTGTCTGTCTGTCTGTCTGTGTGTCTGTGTGTGTGTCCCAAGCACTCAGACTTGATGGAATTAATTTTGCAAAAGTGTGGTGGGAGCTGTGAGCAAGCATTTGCACAAGGACTTTAAAGCATTGAGCTTCTTACTCCAGTTTCTTGGGCTCCAACTTCTTATTTATGCATAAATTACGAATTTGCCAAGGAAAATACTTTGTTGAAGTCCTCACCAAGCAGGTGCATTCAGGGAACCTGAAAAGCCTTCACTGGCATTTGAAAACTTTTCAGAACCGAGTTTCTTGGAATTGACAACAAAGATCTTTTTTTATTCCATGGATTCAAGTAAGAAATGTTTATCTAAATAATTCAGAAAATGTGACTTAAAATCCTGATGGATCGAGAGGACTATGTAGACTAACATACATCATGTTTTAAAAGTCACCTATTTCAAGTACATTTGTGTGCAATAATTAACATCTTTAAGAAGACTTGCTCAATATTTGAAATGTTCAGGACACATAGTATCTTTATTGTGCTATTCATGAATTCATGACCAAAGAAACAAAATGAGGCAGATTTTATAACTGAAAGTTTATAGCTATATGGTTCAGTCAGTACACAAACATATTCCGTATATCCAATGACTATGAGAGCAGTGTGGGGAGAGAGAAGATAGGCACACACACACACACACACAGAGAGAGAGAGAGAGAGAAAGAGTGAGAGAGAGAGAGAGAGAAAAAGAGAGAGAGAGAGAGAAATAATGAACATCAAAATAAAATATGATATAAGAAAGGGCACATAAAATAGGGACAGAGTTGGATTCCAAGTCCGTGTTTCACATTTTACAGATACGGTATAGTCACTTCTTGACAGATGGGTCAACATCCACTGCCTTGGCACACATATAAGAGCAAAAGAATTTCAGTGACACAGAGATTCTAAAAGAAAAAAGTGATGAATTAACCTTCAATGAATACTAGCTCTGAAGTAATTATGGCTTAGAGATCCCAGCATATTGAGACATTTTTGTCTCATTTTTTTCTCGTTAATAAAGATCATTTTTTCTGATGGTCTTTAAAGCCACTTGCATCAACTTTTAGGAATAGTTCAAACCATTCTTGGACAAGACAAACACACCAGCTGTGGTTTAAACATCAAGGCAGCTGTAGAAAGTATGCAAGTAAGACCTGAGGCTGGAAAAGAGCCAGCGCGTCTGAAAGAATCCCACCTGGACCTACTTAACACCTCCCTTGCCCTAACCTAAACACATGCCCTTGTCCCCCTCAGGGACAGCACTGGAACCTTGTGCTCAGGGAAAGCACAAGGATTAGGACATAGTTCAAATTGGCAAGATGATTCCTGGGCTCCTCTATTTCCTGTCTCCCCCAGTTAGGCCCTTTATTTGCTTTCCTCTATGCTACAATCGAAAACTGAAATCCAGGGCTGGTAGTCATGTTGGACACTGGTACAATGCATTCTTTTCCCATGTTGTGTGTTTATTATTTTGGTGAAAGAAACCTAAAGGTCATACTGGAGAAGAGCATTCACTGCATGTAAGCAGATCAGTAAACGCAGAAGCTGTTCCAGCTCTGTTGGCATGCTGGTTCTGGTGGAAAGAATAAAACCTCCCCTTGTTCATAGGCTTCTGTACAGTTTCCTGAAAGATACCTCTCCTCTCTATGCAGCAGCTGACCTTGAATTTGCTCCTCAGGAGTATCTTTAGTGACTCCTTTATGCTTTCCTTTATTTTACAAACACTAATTACTGTCTCCCTTGACCCTGATGGCATATCTTTTTGCTAGTACTGGTAGCTAACTACTCTGCAGAGAATGTATAGTGTAAGAAAAAATGCTGCAATGCATGCAGTAAATATGGCCATTATCTGGCATTTGTTTTCTTTGGGTTTTTTGTGACAGTGTCTCCTTTAGCCCAAGCTAGCCTCCAATTCACTTTGTAGCCAGGATGACCTTGAGCTCCTGATCCTTCTGCCTCTACCTCTGTAAGTGCTAGGATCTCAGGCATATGCCCCCAAGCCCAGCTTACCTGCCCTTTCTACATAAGAAAAATAATGGGAGGCTAATGAACCTGCATAAAATTGCCCACTGCCCTTTCTACATAAGAAAAATAATGGGAGGCTAATGAACCTGCATAACATTGTGGGGAAGTTATAGAATTAACTTTTGAACAGGCTCCATTGCAAGAATGCTGCTGGTAGGATGTAGAAGGCACCTGTATGAAGAGTCACTGCAGTTCTTTCAACTTTTCCTCATGTTTCTAAATATTTGTAACATTCTATCAGGCAAAAACCACTTTTATATTCATCCCCATGTAACTCTCATTGAAATGGGTCATTGTGACTCATTTCATGAGCATTTGGAATTCCATTATAAATAGTAATATAAAATACAATCATTAAAAGGACCCTAGAAGGTACCACATCTCCCCCCCCTCCCCGACCTTCTAGTCATAGGGCAGAATCTGCCTGGTATAACTATTTTTTTAAATTTTAAGATCTATTTGTAACATTGGAGGTTCCATGACCAACCAGTAAGTTGCAGTTAAGTTCCTCTCTCAACAGTAACCAGCCATTCCCCAGCATCAGGTAGGCGCGTCCATACCACCCTGCACACTCAGGTGAGGCTCCTTCACATGGTAATTTTCATTGTTCTTTTTCCCAAGGGGACTAGTGCAGTCTCCTGTCTGCTTGAATTTTCCTTTGGAATCTTTCAATAATATTTTTATTTGTAGGCATAGTTTTTTAATTTTATGAATTTGGGAGGGGTCTTTTTTAGATTTACTATCCCTTCTTTGATTTATTTCCTTTTGGGTGCATCCATTGTGAGAAAAGAGCAGATATTCTCAGCTTTAAGGCTGCTGTTGAAAAGCCTTGTGTGTAGTGTATCTACCATCTGGTTTATCCAGCTATTCTCTGCGAAGCTTCTCCCCGCTCCTCCTCCCAGGTCTCCTTAAACAGCTCATACATTTTTTTTTTTTTCTGAGTGAATTTTTTTCTTCTTCTGATGGACTGTGATTTTTATTTTTGTTGTTGAAAACTTGAGCTTTGGAACTCATGAGGTAATAAATCTGGGAATAAAGTTCTCTCTGACCTTCAGTTTTTCTGGCTTTTTTCTTTTCCTTCTCTCCTTTGTCATTTTATTTTGTTTTGCCTTCTTTAAGCTGCTGTTGTTGTTGGGTCTTAGATGACTTCATGATGGGCCTGAATATAATATAATATTATACAATAATTAATATAATATGATATAGTGTAAGCCCAAGCTGTCCCCATCTCTTTTCTAAAGCTGTAACTTGCCCTGTACATGACTTTTTTACCTTTTCTTCCTCCCTTCCTTCCATCCTCCCTTCCTTTTTTAATATTCAATTGCCTTTACATACCCTATTGCTTAATTTCTGGTTCCAAACAGGGAAATGAAAGGAGGTGGGGGGAGGAAATTTGCAGATTCTGTAAACTTAGTTTATCACAAGATGGAGAATTGCAACAGTGTGCAATTGACACAGTGGTTGCCTTCATCTATGATCTATGATCGGAACCAACCATGAGCATGGATGGCAATACCCTAGGGTCTCTCTCGTCTGCATTCCATACACAGTGTGTGCAGGAATCACACTAGGGTCATCTGCAAGAGCATGACAGAACCTCCTAGCTAACTTCTAATCCTTGTCTCCAACCCTTAAAAAATGCATTCAACTGCCAGTCAGTCAATGAAAGCAATATATGGTAAATAAGTTAAACTGGGCAGGAGAGGTCGGTCAGTGATTAAGAGTGCAGATTGTTCTTGCAGAGGACATGTTCCCATCACCCATGTGTAGTGACACACAACTGCTTATAATTACAGCTCCAGGGAAAGCAACCCCTCTGGGCTCCTCAAGCACAAGCATTCCCTTGCACTTACCACCACCAAACATATGTTCACATGTATAAGATCAATATTAAATAAAATTTTAAAACAGTAAGAAAATACTTAGATAAAAAGGAGAGATGCAATTTAGAAACATTAAAATGAAAAGAAGATATTCTAAAGCTTATATTACACAACAAAAGTAGAGCTAAGAGGGAGTTTTTAACACATAGGTGTTTGTATTGTGACCAAAATATACATACAACCATGTTCATTGCCACTGCATTCATAATAACTAGAAAATGGAATCAGCCTGGATGTTCATCTACTGATGGATGGATAACGAAAATGTGGTACATGGTACATTTACCTGATGGAGTCTCACTCACTTGTGAAGAAGAATGAAATCTGTAGGCAAATGAATAAAATTAGAAAATATTACACCAAGTAAAAGGTAATCCAGTCCCAGAAAGACAAATGTCAAATGTTATCTCATGTGCAAGACCTAGACTGCAATGTTTAAACTTCTCTGTTTGAGTGGAGTGAGTATCTGCAGAGGCCAGGAAACAACAAAACAGGCCTGGGGTGTGCTTTGTTCTAAGGTCAAGAACAAGAAATACATGTCTAGTTTCTCCACTTCTGCTAACTAGAAGTCCTTTAAGGAAGGCATCCAAATTGAAAAGGGTAAAATTGTCGATTTGGGGAAATAATAGCTAATATAATAATAATATCTTAAATACTGAAATCCCTAGAAAAGGTATACACAAACACACACAAACACCAACACACACACACACACACACACACACACACACACACACACACACACACACACACACACATACACACACACACTTGTACACATATGCAGAGTTAGCTTGAATATCTCTAGCTATGAAAAGTCTGGAAAGGAAATTAAGAAACCAGTCTCTTTGGAATACCATCAAATAAATACAATAAAATGATGAAGAATTAAACAAGGATGAAAAAGACTTGTAAAATGAAATCTACAGAGCATTACTGAAAGAAATAAAACACATAAAGGAAAAGAAAGGCATCCCATGTTCATGGAGTAGAAGACTTGGATATTGTTAAAATGTCCATACTGACCAAAAAAATACAAAAATTCAACGCAATTCCTAAGAAAATCATAATACCTTTTTTGTCAAAACATAAAAATCCATCCTAAAATTCATATGGAATTGCAAAGGACTCATGTAGTTGAAACATTTTTGAAAGATAAGGAAAAAAGCTAGAAGATCCCAACCAATTACAAGGTCATGGAAGTGAAAACAATTTAATAGAGGCATATAGATTATATGTAGATAACGAAAAAGAATACAGAGCCAAGGAATGAACTAAAATGATTTTCAAAAAGTTTCCTGAGCTAGAGCTATCTTTTCCAAGAATGGTGCTGGGATTTTTTCATGTCCACATACCAAAGAATAAATGAAGTCATACTCTTCATCTGTGAAATAAATAATAATCATCTCTATTGGATCAAAGACAGATGTGTTAAAGCTAAAACAATAAAAATATGGAACAAGCTGTTACATTGGAGTCAATATATAATATAAAGCACGAGAAGCAATATAAGCAGCAAAAAATAGACTTGAACTTCTTGAAAATTAAAAATGTTGTCCATCACATGACAGTATCAAAAGTGAAATGGCAGCCCACAAAACATGCAAAAATATATTAAGATAAACTTAATGTCTAGAATGGGCGGTAAAATAATAAAACTCAAAGACCAAAAAACTAGGTGAATAAAAAAATGAACAAAGTGCTTGAATTATTTCTTTACAGAAGATAAACAAATAGACAATACTCACATGGAAGATTCTCACCTTCACTAATAATTTGAGAAATGTAAACCAAAACCACAAGGTAATACCAGCATCCATGGGAATGGTTTCCATCAATAAAAATGGAAAGGCATATAATGCTGATGAGAGTGTAGAGAAACTGAAACCTTTGTGCACTGCTGTGGACATGTCAGAGGAGAAACAGGTGGCTGTTGACTTCAGGGGATGATCAGCCCACCAGCATGCATGGCATGGCAGGAGAGTCTTGGGTATGCACAGCCCCGAGGGCTTCAGCCCCACAATGCCTCTTGCTACTGCTGTGCCTTTGCATATTTGCCACTGACATTCTTCTATGATATTGGGCATGGTGTGAATGGGTGTGAGAAGACCCCCCCACTACATCTAATGTAGTGGGATTATCTCATGGAAACATCTCCGTCTACTGGTATTATTATGAAAGATGGTTTCCTCCTCATAAGCTGTACAGTTTACCTGAAGCAATGATTTTATACAGTAATAGTTTAAATAGGATTTTGATGATTGAGGATCTTTAATAAACATAATAATGGATTATGATAGAGGTCAGCTTAGGGGGAAAGTAACATAGGCAAGAGCAAGATGTGGTGTTGCCTCCACTCCTGATAAAGCAGGGGCTGCAGAGGATAGAAAATAAGAGCACAGCTAGTTTCTCTTGAGGAGTCACATAGGTTGTGGCTTAGGTTAATGATTAAGAAAAAACAATTGAGTCCCAGAAGCCCAGCTAGCTCAAATACTTTTAGTCTTAATGTTGAGAAATGTGTTCATGGGTTTTGGTGTGCATCATAGCTAAAACAAAGCTTTAAAAATAACTTAAAGCTAGGTTAAGATATTATTGTTAGATAGCTTTGAGGTTAAAAAAAAACTGGAGAAACAATCTGAAGTTTAGAGGTTAGGGGAAAAGAATAGAGTATCCCAATTAATAGCTGTTTCTTGCTAGGATTGATTAGTGATCAAAAATGATGATTAATTCCTTGTATGCATTTCTGCCCTCAGCTTCCTGGTATAAAAACTATTGATGAATA